CAGCGGGGGGCCCCCGCTCTCCCCTCCCCCCCCCCCGGAGCCGCAAGGCTTCGCAGGGCTGGGTGGCAGCGCGGGGGGAGCGGGGAGCAAAGCCCGGTCCGAGGCACAGCTGCCACCCGCACCCCACTGTCCTGCGTGCGATGCAGCCATCAAACCACCCGGGCGCCTCAGGGGACTCATGTCACAAGCTGCCAGGGACTCTGGCAGCAGTATTAAAATGTTACTGTGACTTTTCATGTAGAAGTAACTTGTTAATAGCAGAATTAAAAGAACCACTAAATATTTGAAAAAAGTCCGTATTTCATCAAACGGTGAGGGGAAAGAGGAAGCCATGTTTTACCTACAGCGCTCCAGAGGAACCATTTAAAGCCACATTCTGCAAAAGTAATTTGTATCTGGTTACCAAAATAAATGCAAAGTTTAAACCTGAGGAGTTTAGAACAATTGCCTTGTAACTTTTGAAATATAGTATATAATGAAAAAGGATATACCTCTGAAGCAACCTGCAGCATAAAACTCTTGCAGTTTCTTTTTTCTTTAGTCGTAATCCTCGATTTCTTCACATACAAAAGGATTTCTGCTTATATCCCTTTTATAAAGGTATGGATTAAATATTTATTTGGTTTTCCATGCTCACTAAAGATGAAGTGACCTTCACCCAGCTAAAGCAGAAATGTTTATTTTTAATTTTGGAATGGTCTGTAATAGTATCAGTTAGGCTGTATTAAATGATGAATAACAGCAGTACTGAGACACCGTAGTTCATAAAACAGTATCCCCTGCCAATACTGTACTGCAGCACTAATGCAATAAAGGACAGAGACTACAGGGAGCAAAAACAATTCATAGCAGTGAAAAATCATTAAAATACCGTGAAGTTCAAATTAATCCCCTCTTTCCATTTCACTTGGTTGAAGACAAGTATGAAATTTTGTAAAAAAACGTACAAAGCCATCTCTAGTTCTTACACAACTTAAAATTTAGCAAGTAACAAATAAAGATAAACAAACATGAACTGCGAGTATAACACTTGAAATGGCAAAACTAATCAGTAAACCCAAACATTAAAAGCTGTAATTGGATTCTGCACCTTCCCTGCTGTTACACAGCAGCTACATCTCCCTGGGTCAGTGAGTGTGCGAGTACTGGCAGTAACGCTGCCTTCATCAGACTGTTCCACCTCTGCCTAGGAAAACATGGGTCCCAGCAGCTCTTTAACACGACCTACACGCTGCAAAATGGAATCTTATTTTTCAGAATTGGAGTTATATATGTATTTATTCTGTGCAGGTGGACTCAAGCACCCATGCAGAACCCAACTGAAATCAATCAGGTTCAGTGCAGCTGCAATATTCGATCCTCCTGGTACAAGTTTCAGACCTGGTAGTCAAGTTATCACTTTAAGCAACTCAATATCAATGAATATTTAATAAGTTTATATGGAAAAGATTTATGCAGCCAACTTTCAATTCACACCAAGGTTTGGGTTTGGTTTTTTTAAAATCATCTACACATCTGATGCAAAGTATTACAAAAATAGACAGCGAAAAACACAGATCGCTCACTCTGCAGATCTGTTGATGAAGCTGAGGCACGCTGTTTTGGGCCATGGTCATTGTATACAAAGAAGTCTCCTTAAAGGGATTCTGAAATTTTCTTTTTCTTCTGCAATCTGGGATTTAAAGTATTTGCTGGTCCGTAAGAGCGCAGGCAGGCAAGTGGGCAGCAGTCATCAAGAGCTGTAACAGTGAGTTCTTGGCTGCGCTGCAGGCTGGCAGGTATCAGCTATTCGGTAAGGCACAGCAGCGTGCGCAACCAGAGCAATGGACTGTAGCAGTAATTTTAATTCCCACAAGTAGCTGAAAAGTTCACACACACACAAGTTTAAAAGACAGATTTGTAAAAGCGTACAGAGATTGTACCAATGAATCAATCATCTGTTTCCAAGTGCTAACAAAAATCATCGCCAGGCAGCTGGCAGTTAAGAACTTTTCTTGGTTTTTGCACTGAAGTAAAGAAAAGATAACGTAGACTATCATAGATAAAAAATAGAAAAGAAAGTGATGGGGCAGGGTTTTGTAACAACAAGCCCAGGGACAAGATCCTCACCAAAGACGACCCTGATAACTTATCCCACTTGCAGAGCTACCTCCGTGATTTTTACAGCTGCCCCAAGACTTAAAAAAACTACCATGCAGTAGAGCCCCAAGTCAGAGAAATACGTAAGTATTTGCTTGACTCTGATCACGGGCTTAAATACTACTGTAGCAAATTGAAAACTGAATTAAAATCAGCACCACAGTGAAAGAGTTATTTTGTGTCTTTTCAAATAATTTCTAGGGCAAAGCGTTTTGCTTACTCTCTCGAACCTAGTTCGGGGAGCAGGTAGAGGGTACCTCAGCAGGCGGTTCAGGCTGTGCATGGTCTTATGGTCTTGCCTATGTGCAAAACCAATAGAATAAAAACTTCAGTGATAAGAGCCACGGTAAGTGTGTGAAAGAGGAACATTCCGCAGCCGAACAGATACAGCCCTTCACAAATTTGTTCAGATACTTCAGTGCACATTTTCCACCCTCTGTTACTTCATGCCAGTCTCATTTAGGCTCATTAGTTTCAGTATACTAGATCACTCGTGTCAAATAATAAAACTTTCCTTTCCTCAGTAAGGAAAATTCACCGTTAAAAAAACAAAATTTAAAACCCCCCAAAAATAAAATTTAAAAAAACAACACTGATTTCTAGGCCAGCTTCACATTTTAAACATTACATCTTGTTTGCGTTGATGGAGCAGAAAAAGTGCATCTTTTCCTGTGCAGGCAGTTATACACTACAACCCAGCCATCCCTCAGATATAAATAAGGTGGCTGTATTTATCTCAAACTCTGCAGTGAGCAATGTATAAAGTGAGGGGTAAGTAACTGTGATCAAAACTCCCCAGTTTAAACTACAAGGAGGAAAAAAACACCTCATTTTTTGCATTTAATGCTTAAATATTTTATGTTACAGTTTAATATTTTATATTTAGTAATTAAATTTATGAGTTTTATATGTAATACTTAGACAACCCAAATCCTGACTAGCTGACTTATTTCTCCTCCCCGCAAAGTGATACTGCCCCAGCCAGACCTCGAGATTCCCCCGCTAACATCCCTTCGTTTAAGTGATGGGGCTGTGAAAGGTTTGGTCCTTACTGGAAAGCTTCCTGACTTGATTTTTTATGCTTTAAGACTTGCTTTTCTCAGGCTCACAAGGATGGAGCGGGCACAAGGTGAAGAACTTTTTCCTGAAGTCAAGCTTCAGCAAGACTTTATCTTTTAAAACAAATTATTTTTGGATGAAAGATGGAGGTTTGTACTGTTATATACCTAGCGTGTGATAAGTGCTGGGTGTTGATTAAAAACTCCCCTATCTAGCCTAATCTATTCAGGATAAATACAGGTGCCAAATTCCTCAAACAGTGCTCAAAAGTGAGATTCTTAAAACTAAAGCGCAAGTTACAGATGACAAAATGTGAACAAAATTTACGTAAAATTGAGTAGCTGCCCCAAATTGGAGATCTGTGAATTTGTTTAAGACTGTATTTTGGTATCACCACTAGAAATGGGTGAGAAAAAACTGCACAATAGCCTTTAAAATTAGAGATGTTTATGTTTTGCACCCCTCCTTTTATACTGTGCACAACTTCTAACAGCTTATTGGAAGGCTCATGCAGTAGTAGCAGCTGATTTCCCTCGAAACACCCTTATTTCCAATGATGATGAAGTCTTCAGCAGACATTTGATTAAGAGATGGGTGCAGCGATCTGCCTTCTAAAGTACTCATTTTCCCTTGGATGTTCCTTCTGAACTGTGCATGCAGAAGCTGTGCTGCAGCAGCAGCTGGCATGGACCAAAATTAAACCAGCCGGTCATAAAACAGAAATATATAGTGAAGCATACAACCTATCTGTAGCAAGCTCTTCCTCTACCCCCCTCCCCCCCCCATTTCTCCTTTATATTCACCTCCAGTTGCACAGGTGACATTTTCCATAAAGTTAATTTCAATAAATATTTATAAATTCCTGTTTGTGCAGCTGAAGGAATTCCAGAACTTTATGAATGTCCTGAGGACATTGCAGTGTAGTTAAGTCTCTATTTGACTTTTATTAAAATTAGAAATCTTTGCTCAGCTGTTGTGTAACTGTTTTATGTTCTAAAGGAAATTAAGAGATTCTACTTTTATAACTGTGCACCTTAAAACAATGGGAAATGTACTGTTTCACATCAAGAACTTCCAAAACCTTTGGCAGGTCACACGTAAGAGCTACCTTAGCCACACACATCAGGGTATCTCTAAACTCCCTACAACCAAAACCATGAACCTAGGTTAATTAACGTCTTAAATCCCATGGTTTGCAGTGCCCAGGAACCCCTACATCTCTTCAGCTGGGCAGTGCACCTCTCCCCCTCGTCAGCATCCCCGTACTGGGGGGCTCTGCCCAGGCACCAGTGCCACGCAGGGCATCACCCCACACCTCCTGCCGCGCTGCAGGGTGCTGGGCGCCTCACTTGCCCCAGACCTCCCCCAGGACAGCAGGCAGCAGAAGCCAGGCAACAACGTTCCCTTGGATCTAAGCATTCAGATGATGGAGCAAATAGCTGGTCCTCATTTGACTACAGATGGGACAAATTTAAAACCCAGGGAAGAGAGTCCTCAGTCCTTGTCTTAAAATTCAAATACAGAGCTCAGGACAACAGAGAGTGAGAATTCGGTGTTTCTCATGTAACTGACATGCAACATGCTATAAATGACTGCCTAGGAGAGATCTTGAAATTAATCCATTGCATCTCTTGAAAACTCAGTGAGTAACATAAGTCATTCGCTATTAACTCTTGAAAATCTTCAGGATTTGAGAAAAAGGGACTTTTCATCTGTAACACTATCAAATTTCTACTCCATATCACAGTGAGGACTTCCTACAGGCTGGCGTGAAAGACGAGCAGCCCCAGTGCTTAGAAATCAGACTTTATTGTAAACTTTTCTTTTTTTTTAATTATGTAGGATAGTTACCCTCTGTAAGAACAGAGGACAAGAATCCACAGCCTCTCAATTCACACAACGGCCAGAATTCAATCCCAGTCTCATGTCTTAAATTTTATAGCCAATTCTTTTCCAGAGTTTGCCCAAGGCAATATTCTCCATTCAGTTAATCACCAGACAGTTCTTTTCCCGTGGTGCAGGGAAGATAAACTAAAATGCCAGGAAAAAACAAGTCACCAGCAACCCAAGAGATGCAGATTTTATGATGAAAATGACCGGTATCAGCTGTAATAAAAATCTCTATACCGTAATAAGTTCAGAAGGTTCATCTCCAGTCTCTGAGCTTCTCTCTTTGCAACAGTTCAGTGTTAGCTCTCACAGTATCTAGCAGGTGAAAACACCTGGCTGAATCATTCCTGAAACATCAAAGGTGTACCTTTTTAGCATGACTAAAAAGATAAAAACTGGTTTCCACCTTCCAATGATGAATTTGGTGATGATCTTGATTGCTGGTAACGATCTTGGAAGTTGAATCCTGAGCACAGGGTAACTCCCTGATCCATCTTCCACAAATCCAAATTGCATGCATGAATTCCACCCTCCTCTTCCCACGCAAGATGAATTTTATACACAGAACAGTCTGTCATACAGAATTAACCTATTCTGCTAGGTTAAATCTTTTCATGAAAGATTTCTGAGACCTATTACATAGACCTTATGCTTACCCCTTCTCCATGCGCACCTTTCTACAGGCACACTTACCACACACAAGTTCTAATGACCGAAGTCTCAGACCTAGGTCCAGCCTCAGAAGCCCAAGAACCAGAACCAGGACACTGATTCCACACTCATTGCAGGCGACCTCTTAACAAGGGCTTGAAGAGTAAAACTGATGGCCTGTACTTAAGGCAAGCAGCTACATGAAGTTTTCCAGTCCACACAAGAGTAAGAATAAAAAGAGCAAGTAGGTCCAGGGATACCACAACATATCGTGTTTCTTGACTGTGAGGTCTAAATGAAGATTGTTAGTAATTGGGACTTGTAATCTCTCCCACATGAATGCTCTGGGCTCTAACAACATCAAGAGCTCGTATTTCAGCCTTTCCCATCTTGTGGGGGCATCTGAGATGTCTTTCCTCTTTTTGGTCTTTCACAGACCTTGCAGAAACTAAATTATCTTGGAGGCATTTGCTCCTCTCAGATTTGACTGATGGGTTCAAGCATCATTGGAGAAAAGGAGAGATGGAGAGAGGCACAGCCAGCATAACAGCTCACTGCTACTGAGAGAGATGGCCCCAGTTCTGCATTTCCTTCCTCCCATGCACCTAATCGCATAAACCTGCCTACCCTGTGCTCGTCCTACCTTTCCACAAGGAAAGTGGTTAAACAAGTGCTAGCGCTGGCGGTGGGAAAGCGACAGCAGTACGTGACCAGAGCAGAAGTGAGCAGGATGCAGAGTGCAGCATCGATTCAGCCCATCTTATCAAAACATATGCTCCAAATGAAAATACTGTGGCTGAAGTTGCATGTTACAAGTAAACCGTTTACCAAAAATGAGAACCATCCTGCTCACTGTCCACCCCTGTTCCCAGCACGGAGCCAATTCAGCTCACTAAGTCAGCGGAAAGTCAACGAAGTGAAAACAAGAACACAAAAAAGTTGTTTCCCCTTAATGAACTGAACTGGCTGCTCACAGGGCACCAAAGGCAGCAGAGAGGACAGAAACGTAAGAGAACAGGAGGCACAGGGAAAGCAGGAACAGGACCTGCACCCCACAGCAGCAACAAGCTGTGACACTGGCCCAGCCCTACGCAACACGGCCTCACACTATGGCACGACGTGGGCTCCGTTTCCTTCGCCTGACGTTCCTGCAAACGGTTTTAGCTGTTAAAAAGCTGCTCATCATCTCAATATCTGAGCAGCAGTTCCAAGTGGGAGGTTTTCTTTGTTCAAGAGAGGATTATACAAGCAGCTACGCAGTGAGCAGCCCATGCCTCGTTAATGAGTTTCCGAGAAGCAAAGAGGTCACTGTTGACAGTAGAACAGCAGCAGCAATTACAGTTCGACAACACAGGCAGAACCAGCAGAAGAGCTGGCGAGGCCAAGAAACTGCCCTCAGCATAACACGCACGAACATCGCTCTTTTCCAGGTTAAAAATAAAACCATTTCTGGATATCGGCAAACTGACAATTTTATTGTCGCCATGTCATTTGGAAAATTTTCTGCATAAAATACAAACCCAAAAGCAAGTAAGACAAAAAAGTTAATGTGAAACTACCGTTTCCTCTTTAAATAACCACAAACAGAAAACTTTCCAGCTTATGACAGAGTTAACACATTAAAACATCCCTGCACAAGATTAGACATCAGAAGTGACAAACGCAACAGGCTTACCCATGAAA